TGCCCCTAGTGAACCATTTTAGTAAGTTTATGTAAGCCCTATTTTATGTAATTTATTTTAAATTGGTTAATGCCATCCTGAATGTCATTGAGTTGAGTATATGATGCATTCATTTCTCCAAATACTATCAAGGGAAAACAAGACAGTAAATTCAACTATCAGCAGGATGTTGCTACGGTTAATACTACCACCAAGATAACACCCAAAATCTAATAGGTGTCCCTTTATCTTTAGATTGTTTTATTTATTGTGAGAGAAGTACATAATATTAGCAGGAAATGATTTTGGTAGTGACTTTTGGGCCTTTGGTTCCTGTAGTAATGAAAGTATAGGGATATACTGTTAAAATTGACTTCAAGTTTTCCATTTATACTTTGTACAAGCAAATTGAATGCAGTATATTATCCATAAATATATTAACTGCCAAGATTTTCTAGGATTTTAATAGAAAACCAGTGATTTCAGAAAGTCATTAAATAACTATTAGAGAAATTAGTGTTAATGTGAATTCACAACTTTCTAATTATTAGATAAAGCTCTCAGTCATTTTGCACTTTCTAGATGAGAAGAAATTTTTTAGACTTGATTGATGCCTTTTTCTTTTTACAAATCAGAACATCTTATAGTTCTCATCAGCTTTTTCTTATAAATTTATGTTGGACATACTTGACTATAAGATAAAATAAGATGTGTCATATTTTACTACCAACAACTACCTTTTGTAAACTAAAGAGAGATTTAGAATAGAACTCAAGGCCATCTGAATATATATCTTTCTAATAAAAGCTCTCTCATAACCTTCTGTTTAGAACTTACTTTGGCTCTTAGGTTAAAGTGTTCAATGTCTACTCATTCACTAAGCTGATTATTTAGGTGTAGTGTGTGTTGTCCATGCACCGTATATAAGCACAGAGCCGGAATGATAAACGTGTATTTCTCCATTCAGTGAGTGTTTATTGAGCATCTGCAGTATGCAAGGTACAATATCAGGAACTTCTGATACAAGGGTAACAAAGCAGACACACTCCCTGTACTACTTACAGTCTAGAAAGCAAGACAGTCATTAATCGGATAATCATACAAATGAATGCAAAATTATCACCATGAACAATGCTGTGGTGGACAGGTGAACAGTGCTATCAAAGCTCAAAAGGGGATGACCTAGTCTTTGGAAAGAGCATAGCAGGATAAGATTTGTTTTCCCACAAGATTGGTATACAAGGGACTGAAGGGGGAAAAGTGTGGATGAGGGAGACCAGTTAGAAGCTATTGGAGTATTTCTGGACACAAGCTTGGATTAGGGAAGTGAGTGACGGTGGAAATGGAGAAAGGTGTAAACCCACCCTCACTGTTCTCCCTTCTCAATTATTTAATTCATTTTAAAGCCAAATTATGCTATCTGCCTAGAAAACAGAAAGGATCTATCCTTTGAGGGATTTTTTCTTATTTTTGAGAGAGGGAGAGAGCAAGTATGCATGTGAGTGGGGGAAGGAGAGAGAGGGAGAGAGAGAGAGAGAGAGAGAGAGAGAGAGAGGATCTGAAGAGGAGTCTGTGCTGACAAAAGAGAGCCTGATGTCGGGCCCAAACTCAGGAACTGTGAGATCATGGCCTAAGCTTAAGTCAAGAGACTTAACTGACTGAGCCATCCAGGTGCCCCAAAGGGATTTTTATTATTCTCTGAGTCATAGCTTCCAGTTGGAAATCTACAGAAGTATAATTTATTGCCTCACCTGCTACTATCCCACTTATAAGTTTGTGATTTCAAAAGTTCAGTGATAATTGTATAGTAATACTTATTGATATTGTCTTGATAATTATAACATGACAGTACTTTATGGTGACCCATTGCATCCTTTGTTTCTGGAGTTCCCAGGGTGTACCTACAACTCAGTGTGAACATTAAGCCTTCTCTTACTGAAATGTTTTTTTCCCCTGTCCTGGGATTTTGCCTCCATGTCCTCCTCCTCCTCCCAATATTATAATAGCTCTCTCTCTTTTTTTTTTTTTTCTAAGAATGTCACGTGATGATGATGTCTTATATTGGTTTATTAATGATATCTTTGTTTTAAATTCTTATGTAATGCTTAATTAGTAGATATTATCTCCTGATAAAAAAGCTTTGTGTTATAGAGTTACTTGAGCAGGGTTGTTGTCTTCCAAATTCCCTCATTTTTCTCTTGTTCTGGTTTTCATTGAGTTTAATTGATTGACTCTCTCTTTAATGTAAAACACTGTGGAAAATAACTGAATTTATCAGTAATTTATAATAACCCTTTACAATAACCTCATTAATTATTTATAAAATTGGTTTATGTACCAAATGAGCTTTGGTGAGAATAATGTGTTTTACACATTAGTTATGAAATAAACAGATTTCACATCTCTGAATTTCAGTACATTTCCCCATTTATTTGGGAAGGATAATTTTTTTTTAATTTTAGAGAGCATGCAAGTGGGGAGAGGGGGAGAGGGAGAAGGAGAGGGAGGGAAGGAGGAAGGGAGAGAGAGAGAGAGTGAGGGAGAAAATCCTAAGCAGGACTCAATACCAGGACCCTAGGATCATGACTTGAGCCGAAATCAGGAGTTGGATGCTCAACAGACTGAGCCACCCAGGCACCCCGAGAAGAATACATTTTGATGACACTTTGCAAGGATGCTTAACAGAGAGTGTTGAAAGTCATTAAGGAAGAATTGTCTACAGCTAGGAACATACTTAATTTAAAAAAACAAAACTTTTTTCCCCTTGATGGTATTGTGTCAGTCACTTGAGAAACTTGAAAATACAACAACATTTAGTGAACAAGTGGCATGTTTTCTGTTTATCTTTAACCCAACCTGTAAGCCTCTAGCCAGTTCAAAAGCTGTTTGCTGTCAGTCTATAAAGAGATTGTGGTTCCCTTCTTTAGGGCTAAGTCTCCTGTGGGTAGGGGAACTAAGGACTCATTAACAACTAAAGAATTGTAAATAGAGGGCCAGGTTAACAGTGCGTCAGGGTCCTGGAATAAAAGCTCTTAATATTCTGTAGATATTACAGAACCTGTCTCTTTTAAGGAACCAATATACGTATCTGCTTAAAGGTATTTCTAACTTGCCAGAAGAACCTCTTTTTGTGTCCTGCCTTCCTGGATCCTAGCATCCTGACTTGATGACTTCTTAAGTCAACCAGCTTCTGAAACCTGTCTTCTTCCTGACCTGACACTTCTGTGCCAGCCCTGTGCCCAATTTGATATTCCTATCATCTATACCTTCTGCTCACCCTTGACATGATAGCCTGACTCCATGGCTGTTTCTCAAGAGAAGACTATGACTGACCGCTGATACACTTGTTACAGAAAATAACTTCAGGATATGAGATTGGACCTGTTAATTTGAGAGTAGTGTTATATCTTAAATCTTTCTCAGAAAATCTTTAGAATGCTTACAAACTGGGACTTAAGACATTTTTGACTAGGGCTCTCTGAAGACTAAAGTTAAGATTTTAAAAGTGAAATAGATAATTATTATCAGCTCTTTTCCCTAAACTGGTTTGGCCAGTAGTACATATTCAGGTATTTGTTGAATGTATGATAGTCCCCAAATTTCATATTTAATTCTTTTTGGTGTCACCAACAAAAGCCATTCAGGTTCCTTTATATCTGAGTTAATACCGTGTAAAGCAGTTTTGAATTACTTGCTTTTTATGTACAAGCTATTAATATTTTATAGCAGCCATAAAGATGATTGAAAACTAATGATGCTACTATAGAAAAACAATATTTTATATTTACTGTTAAACACCAATTCTACTTAAACCAAATAGCATATTTAGAACTTACATGATGATTAGCAGTCCAACACATAACACATTCACTTGTTGATATTAGAATACTGGAGTGCCTGGCTGACTCACTCTGTAGCACATGCGACTCTTGATCTTAGGATCATGAGTTCGAGCCCCACGATGGGTATAGAGATTACTTAAAAATAAAATCTTGGGGCACCTGGGTGGCTCAGTCGGTTGAGCGTCCGACTTCGGCTCAGGTCACGATCTCACAGTACGTGGGTTCGAGCCCCGCATCAGGCTCTGTGCTGACTGCTTGCTCAGAACCTGAAGCCTGCTTCAGATTCTATGTCTCCTACTCTCTCTGCCCCTCCCTCGTTCACGCTTTGTCTCACTCTGTTTCTCAAAAATAAATGTAAAAAAAAAAAAAAATAATAAATAAATAAAATCTTAAAAAAAATAAAAAACTAAATTGACTAGCTTCTGTCTATATAAACAAGGTTGAAATTGGTATATTGTAGTGCCTGAAAAAATTATTTTATATATAATATACTGTATAAATGAAATTAAATTTGTGTGGCATTGAGCATTAACTTCCTCTTGCTATTCTGATTTTTAAAATATTTATATATGTTTAAAAATTAATACGAAGCATAATGATGACATTAATATTGCTCATTTTTATGTGTAGCTTGTGTGATCTATTTCAGTTTATAGTTGTAGCTTCTATATCATCAGAAGTTTTAAAAAGTTCCTAAAACATAGTAGGATGCATGTTTGTTTCAGAATTCATGGAGATGGTATGTAGTGTTTATTTCAGAGCAACTAATGATTTTCAGTATGGGATTTTAGCCCTTTTCAGACTAATAATCTTATGTAATTTCACCCACATGCAAAAAACATATGATGTAAATAGTTACAACACTGTGCAACATGCGCGAATTATTAATATACAGTGAACATTTACGTTGCACCAGCGAACTCATGTCAGCATTTCTAACCTATGGGATTTTTGTTTTGCAGGAGGAAATAGAAGTAGAAATTATTTTCACAACTTGAATATGTAATTCCCCATTAATATCAATTCTTTTGCCAATTGTTACCACAAAATTGGCTAAAATTAATACTCTTTTGTCCTAATAGATCAAGGCAATTTACATTTAGTTTTCTTTGTCTTTTTTGTTTGTTTGTTTGTTTTGTTTTACTCCCTCCACTCCCCAATTATTTCATGGCATTTCAGTGCTTCAGAGAATTTAGATGAGCTCTCTTCCTCCAGTAGCTGGTTACTTAACCAGAAGCACAGTAAGAAAAGGAGAAAAGACAGGACAAGATTGAAATCTCCATCCTTGACTATCATGAGTACAGCAGCTCGAACAAGGCCACTTCAGAGTTTCCACAAACGAAAACTCTACCGATTGAGCCCTACTTTTTATTGGACTCCACAGGTAAGGCTGCCTATGGGGAAACATGAACAAAGATTTTATCATCAGTATATTTCACATACAAGAGGGTATGGATTGTACCTGGTTATTTAGAATAATTACATCTAGAAAGCTTTAAATATATAGTTTAAATCACATAGGTATTGGTAATATCTAAGTGGAATTAGTAATTTTTTAACATAGCAGTGTATTCTGAAACTTCTCACATCTCCATTTTTTTAAATGCACTGTTATGTTTAAACCAATTTGAAGGAATATTACATATCATGGTTATTTAAAAATTTTACTGGTAAGGGTAATAAAGCAAACACAAGTGTACTACGTATTTGTCCTTTGCTTAGTAAAGAAAAAAGTAAAGAAAATCTGTATAGCTGTCAGTTATTTTGTAGGAAATGGCATTGCTCTCCTTTTTAGGTTTGGTATTTGTTAATTCTTGTGAGCACGCCTTTTTCTTTTTCTGGAATATAAGCAGTGCAAGTTTATGTATCCGTGCTTATTCTTTTTATAATTAAAATGTACTTCATTAAAGCCATTCATTTTAAAAATCATATTTTTCACTTGTTCACAAAATGTTAAGTATGCATCTTTCAGTGCATATCTGAACAAACTGTGGTAAAGGGAAGATGAGTTACCTCTAGTTTTTGTTATATGACCTGCTTTTTTTCTATTACATTTTTAAATACTATGTCAAAGGAAAGAAATGATACTATCATTTAATATTGTTTCTGATTATTACTATATTAACTATTAAATATATTTAACTATTTTAAATATATTTGTATAAAAATCAAGATGCTTGTTTCATTAGAAACCAGTTTTAAATTTGGTTTTATAGGCTCCAATTTTAAATAGAAATGTGCATTCTGACAAATTAGTTTTTATTAATACGTTGATTTTTACCATTTAAGTAGTTTAGATTTTATTACTATTTCCCAACTTGAAAATATTTTTTTAAAACATAGGTTTGTTTCAGAATTTTAAGAAATTCTATGTAATCAACCAAATAGGAAAATGTTTTTATTTAAAGTTTTTATATACAAAATCATATTTTATTTTCATTTTTAAAGATTCTGTAAACAATAAGTAGTATTTTTGAAATTGATTTTGTAATTTCAGAATTATAAGTAGAATTGTCTAAAATATTGAGCATATGACTATGCCAAAATATTCTGACTGGAAGGAATTTGCTTGAGTAATTTTGGAGATTTGCTAGATGTTGCTGGAATACTTCTTATACCTGACATTGTAAACATGGGCCTTTGTACAGCAAACAAATGAAGAAACAAGTGTCACATTATTGTTACTGGTAGACCATATACTTTATTATATTCCATTCACAATGCCAAGTATTTTCAATACATTATTATTTATTATTATCTCAAAATATAACCATGCAGTATTGTTAATCCCCTCTTTAGATACAAAAGTTGAAGTGCAGAGAGATTAAGTAATTTACCCAAGGTCACACACCTAGTAAGCAATAAGTCTGATTCCAAAGCCCATGTTCTTACCCAGTGTATCAATAATGCCAAAAACAGACCAAATCTTTTGTGCTTTTGAAATCAGTAAAGACACTATATTTGGGGATTGAGGGAAGGGGCTTATCTGGTTAGAAGTATTCAGAAATGCATCATAAAATATGGGTTTTGAAAGATAAACAGAATTTTGAAAAGTCATAGGAGAGGTAGAGAAAGAATTTTAATAGAAACAGAGATGAGAAAATGATGGAAAATAGAAAATGCCCCCACCCCTAATTTATCCTCCAAATTGCCAGGAAAATAGTTATTTGCTTTTCTAAACTTAATAAATGTCCTTTCTCTCCGGAAGGCTTCCTTGACATCCCTGTAGTGGGATATTAATACAACAAATACCTTATGTTATGAAAATAGTCCATTTTTAATAATCATTTATTTTTCTGTCTTCTCATTACAAGTTCTTAGAGAATAGAGAGTATATATTTCTGACCCTACAGAGCTTTGAATAGTAACTGTCCCTATAACATATGCTCAATATATAATTGCTTAATTTTTTTGAGAGAGAGCAAGTGCGTGCACGGGAGAAAAAGGGCACACGAGCAAGAGCAGGGGAGGGGCAGAGGGAGTAGGAGCGAGAGAATCCCAGACAGTCTCTGTGCCGTCAGCACAGAACCCAACACAGGGCTTGATCTCACGACCATGAGATCATGACCTGAGCCAAAATTAAGAGTCAGACGTTTAACCTGCAGAGCCACCCAGGTGCCCCTAAATAATTGTTTAATGTGTGAAAGAATTAATGTAATGGATATAAGAGGTTATTTAAAAGGTAGTGAAGAATGAGAATGAGTGTGTGTATGTGTTTGTGTCCTCAATTTGCTTTGTGAAGGGGTCTTAGTATGTAATGTCCAATAGAATTTTCTTGTAATGATGGAAATGTTCTGTGAATACTTGTTCTGTCCAATATGGTAGAAACTAAATACATTTAGCACATGAAATGTGGCTAGTGCAACTGAGGGACTGAACTTTTAATTTTATCTATTTTGATTTAAATAGCCACATATGGATACTGGCTACCAAATTGGATATGACTGGTCTAGACTTGTACTTACCCTGACAGCAGTGAGTACATATGGCCCTCATTCTTGTTTTCTAATACTATTCCCTACTGAGAGGAAACAGGGATCTTTGGAGAAATGGTCAATCTCCAGACACGGGGAACAGAAGGTGTAAGATGAGCCTGGAACATCTCAAAGTTACCAGAAGGCAAGGAAATATTACAAAAAAAAAAAAAAAAAAAAAAAAAAAAAAAAAAAAAAAAATGATGGGCATGTCGAAAGAACCCAGAAGCTAGTTTGAAGAGGCTGTGCTGCTGGCCAAATTTAGGGCTATTTGAGCATCAAAATAACTAAGGACAGTAGTGAACCATTGAAGAAATAGGAAACCATGAGTCCATACTACTGTTAGATCGATAGATAAAAAGGAGAAATGAAGGACTTTTCTGTATAGTAGGTTGCTGATTAATAAATGTGGAGTGAGCCCAGGTAGAGAATTATTGCAGTAATCATAGTAAAGACTGATTGGGCAAGAGTCATCAATAGGTGGTCAAAACTAACATAGCCTACGAAAAGGATACAGTATCGCTATGGAGTATTTTGGCCAGGGATGCATGGCCTGAATATAATTATAAGGAAATATTAGACAAAGCCAAAATCAGCAACATGTTGTTAAGAAATTGTGAAAACAGGCCTGTATTCTTTTTTTTTTTTTAACAATTTTTTTTAAGTTTATTTTTTTATTTTGAGAGAGAAAGAGAGCACAAGCAGGGAGGGGAAGAGAGAGAGGGAGAGAGAGAATCCCAAGCAGGCTCCACACTGTCAGTGTGGCTCCCGATGCAGAGCTTGAACTCATGAACCATGAGATCGCAACCTGAGCCGAGGTCAAGAGCCAGACGCTTAGCTGATTGAGCCACCCAGGTGCCCCAGCTAGCCTGTATTCTTTTTAAAAAGTCAATGTTGTGAAAGGCAAGAAAGACTAAGGGAATATTTTAGATTAAAAGAGAGTTTAAAAAGATATATGACAGTTAAAGAAATATTTGATCCAGTTTAGAATTATCTTGGGAGGGGGGAGAGAAGGGGGATTCTTGGGTATTAAGAAAACTGTACTGTTGTACTATGGTAGGTTATATAAAAATATTGTATCACTGTATCAATATTAAATGTGGTAACTGTTTTGCCATTACGTAAGAAAATGTCCTTATTTTAAGAAATGCACATTGAAATATTAAGGGATAAAGTGGCTAAGGCATCCATTTTATGTAATAAATTAACTCCTGCGCATGTAGAATGGTACTAGCCATGTAGCATCCTTGGCAGAGTTGAGAAAATAATTATTTAAATTCTTTTTTATAGCACTTAACTCTCTAGCAGAGTACTGGCTGTAAAAAGCTTATATAAAGACAATGGAGAAGTAGGAGTCCTCTGCTACTACGTAGCATATAGTAATTGGCTGATACTCACTTTCATTGCAACAACTACATGTATAAATTGCAGAGAAAAAAAATCATACTAGTAAAGACATTAGGAAGACTTCTGGTTTCAGCTCCAGCACATAAGGACCCTGGAAGTCATCACTGCTACCCTTACAGTAAGAGAAAGGTGAACAAACTGAAAATCACTGCTTTTCCATGGTCCCATCAAAGAATTAAGGCTATGGGACAAATTGCCACCCTGAAATATGGAGAGAAAAGCAGCTTCAGAGAGCTACAGCCAGGATGTGCTCTCCTAGAGCAGAAGCCACAGTAACCATTAACTAAACTGTTAGGAACACTTACATGGTAACTTTGATGAATTATTTGAGGCTGAGTGTGGATTACCTTGAGATTAAAAAACTCCTAGGTACTCCTGTCTTAAAAGTCCCCCCCCCCAACACTTTCATGGGCTTTACTTCTACGACCCCACAAGGTTCTCATAATGAAGAGCTAAGAAGAATCCTTAGTGGTTTAAGTATGGAAAGGGAAGAGATAACTTTTATGAAATGAGTTCAGAGCATTGTCTGTAACACAGCTTTTTCTTCCAGTGGAAAGACTTCAGTAAAGTCTTACTTTGCCTGGGAGAAAAGCATTTTCCCACTGCTGCCCCCCTATAGAGGCAATGAGTGTAGAAAATAAGAAACACTTGTTTAAGTAGACCCACTAAAAGACGATTTAATTGTAAGAATATAGTACATTATGCTACTGTAGTAGGTGGGCTTCCTTTTGTTCTTTTTTCTTTAAAAAAATTTTTTTTAATGTTTTATTTATATTTGAGACTGAGAGGGACAGAGCATGAGCAGGGGAGGGGCAGAGAGAGGGAGACACAGAATCCAAAGCAGGCACCAGGCTCCGAGCTGTCATCACAGAGTCCAATGCGGGGTTGGAACCCACAAACCATGAGATCATGACCTGAGCCAAAGTTGGGTGCTTAACCGACTGAGTGACCCAAGCACCACCCCCCTTTTTTTTTAAAGTAGGCTCCATGCCCAACATGGGGC